CTACAGCAGCCCATGAACACGATTTCTCTCTGTGCACCACTCCTTTAGCATGCGACGTAGTCCAGCGCCACAATCATCTTTGACTGCTTTCTCGATGTTATCCAGCACCTCATAGGGGATGTCAAGCTGGAGGCCGATGGAATACCACATGTGGCTCACGCCGAAAAGCTCCTCGACGAGATCCTTCAGCAGTGGGATTTCCTCGAGAGCAGCCAGCTCAGTGCTGGCCAGCTCCCCGGGCTCCGACATGATGGAATACCGGAATACTGCATCGGCGATCGGTGGTGCGCAGCTTTTTCTGCTTGACACCCGACTCTACGCATGCGCCTAGCTTGTCGCGCGCGAACAGACTCAGCTCAGGACTACCTCACATACAGAGACTAAAAGATGACGTAAGTTCATGTCACACAATTCATAAGGAATGGGCTCCACCAGCTCCGGCTCCTTGCCTCCCGTCCTCACAAAGTGTCCCAGCCGTGGCTCCTCTGGCAGTCGTTTACACACCACCTTCTCTCCCCTCTCCTTCGCCTGCTTCCTCTTCAGTTCATTGGCCTTGACTCTCTTCAGGAAATCCTCCCGACATCGAGAATGCTTCACATGCTCTATCCTCACATTGATCCGTTTCTGAATGGTCCTGTTTCTGTAATTTTAGGAGAGGGAAAAAAAGCGAGGAAACGCACATGAGCTCAGGCTAGTAGTTTTCCCACAGAATGTTTCCTAGGTAAAAATTTATGGGCGGGGTGAGTTGATCGTTTTTACAATGAGGGGGATAAGGGATACAGTGAAACCCCTCATGTAAGTACATAGATATGAAGGTGAGGGGAACATTTCAAGGGGGTGAGCCGCTTCTTTAAAGACTGCTGCTTACCTGACTACAATAACGCCCACAGCTCTCTTGGTAACGTTGAAGACTCGCCCGGTCTTTCCGTGGTAGAACTTGTGGGGCATGCCCTTGTGGAAGGCGCCATGCCCCCTCTCTGCGACCGGGACCACTGCCTGATGAGGTCGTGGCACAGGGATGTCCCGACTGGGCGATACGTGATAGTCGGTGAGCCACCCGCAGGCGGAGCTTCAGGCGGGGATTCGGGCGGTCCACCTGGCGTCTCATTTCCTCCTCCAGCCTTGTCCTCATGGTACCACCATCACCGCCATTTCCAGAGAGGACTGGAGGTGAGTGCCACCCTTCAGCAAATTTATCATGATTGTGACAAAGGTTTTAAGGCTACAAAGAGTTGTCTTTCGCATTGAGGGACATACAAGGTCACTCTCTCCCTGCAAAATCTATTGAATAAACCCTGCTGCACATTAGCACACTTTTGTAATCCTTATACGCTTTGTTTTAGAGTTTTTCTCTCCCTCACTCCACAGAGGCCACAGTAGTGAGTACTACAACAGAAGTCTCGGTACGTCCGTACCTGGTCTCATCCACTCTGAGCATGCTCAGAAACTCCTTCAGAGAACTTGACTTCCTGGAGACTCCAGTCTAGCCCCGCCCACTTACCACACCCACCACTCAATAATTCATTACACCATCATCATCCATCATCATCAGTTCAGAATTATTCACACACTAACATGAATAATAAACTACAAAAATGAATAACTAAACTGCATTTTTTGCAAACTTGTCGGATTTTTCAGGCGTGTCTCTGTAGTCATCGTTTTGCTTTTGCATCTGCTTAAGCTTGGCATACATTGTTTTGCTCGTTGATTTTGCTTCATTTTTCTCCTTTTCTGTTTCTTCTTGCTGTTCAATAGCCGCTTTAAGCTTTTTGTCAAGAAAGTTAATTCTGTCGTTCCAGTCTTTCTTCTCTTTTTGATGCATGTCATTGGCACATTTCAACTCTCTTTTCAGTGCATCATTTTCCTCACTTATTTCTTGGACACGTTCAAACAGCAGGCCTAGACCATGAGCCACATCATTGCAGATGTCGAGCTGCAAATGAAGTCGGACAACTTTCATTTCATCAAGAAACCTCTTTAGACTTTGGTCCATTAGTTCCATAAACAAAATTGGTTGCTTCAGCTTAGGATCGCTGTAGGTACCTGAACTTAAAAAAGAGACAATATTGGGATGTAGCCAGTCCTTTATGATCTTGCACCCCTTCTTGAAATGTTCCACTTGCCACAATGAGCTCTCAACTACCTTAGGGTGGATGTATTTAGCAGCACAGGGAAGAGTAAGAAACTGGGCCTTGCAGACAACGGCACTATCGCCATTCATGAGGACCTTATCGTGGTGCACTTGCATGCTACTGGGATCAATAGGTGGGAAGGATTCATCCATTTCACTTGGTCTGGATGATGTGGAGGAGACACTTACACTGCTACTAACACTCCTGTAAAGGGATATAGGTAGACAGTGTTTCGGTATTCATTAAAATCTGTTGGTCATGAATAGTACCTCAAGATAGGGTGGTCAGACGGTTGCACCTGTTGTTTGTGGGATGCACTGCTGACTCTGCACGTGGGATGTGGCGTACTTCGTCTCTGTGGGAACATTGTAATTAGTTGTTTTTCCCAAGCATGTGACTATGTTTACTGTTCAAATCTACATGACAGACATTAATGAATGTATGTTGCTAATCTTACCTCCATAGAAGGAAAAATATCATCTTCTTGGTCAACATTGACGTCTTGTGGGTCTTGGGGGTTATCCATTTCACTCGGTTTGTTGGTAGATAAATTCAATAGCTTTCGAACACATTGCTCAGAAAGTTTGATGACAGTACAACTTTCAATTTCATCTGATTCAACAGCACCAATGCTTGTTTCTGTCATAAATGTAGGTGGACAAAATAGCCGTGGCATGATAAAATAAATGCTAAAGGGAGAATTCTTCCCAATGTGGTGTACAGGAGGAGAGAAGCCATTCGTTTTCTTTACTCCATTTTTTAATTTTCTTACAATTTCCATTGTTGGGTTTTCTACCTCCTCCGGAATAGACGCTTTCATAAGACGCGAATTAGGACCATGAGGTGTGAATATGACATCTCTGACATCATTTAGCCCTGTTGCTTTTTCAAACAATTCTATTCCATTTTTATAACTTTCAAAGTCTTCCTTTATTGGAGGATCAGCATATTCTTCAATAATCTCCTCCAGCAAATCATAATGCTGCCAATTCATATACTGCTTCTGACTAATAATGGTGTAAATTTCTGACGTTGACTTTGCAAGGAGTAGTTCTTTATAATTGTGATGTGCTGTAAGTGTGATTGAACACACCTCTAAAACTCGTCTCACTGTAATTTTTTGTGCTTTATGGAGCTTTTCAATATGACGAAATGTTTTGATTCGAAGTGTGTTGAAGAGTCTAGCTAGTCGGCGAATTTCTTCTTTTATAACTTCAGGAACATTGCAACCTGAAAATTACACTAATATACATTAGTGACAACAAGGGTAAAAACAAAACTTACTCCGAGCCATTCTTGCCAGTTGGTGAAAAGCATCTCCCTCCATAGTACATCTGTTACCGATAAGTGGGGAAATGAGTAGTAATGGTCACGTCTGATTTCAAGAAAGTTACATGCACATACCTGGAGCCTTGAGTCTCTGCATTTTTCTGTCGCCTTAGGTTGCTAGCAAGTGTACGCTCCCTACACTCCTGGATGTGCAGGGCATCTATAATATCAGACCACGACGGATCTCCATCGACTACTATTTGGTTTAACCAACTCGTGATCGTTTCCATTAGGGCCAGCTCTAATTCATCTTATGCTTCTGGTCAATTGCTTTAACGTAGACTGAGGAACCTTAAGCTGCGTTCCTATTCGCCTCCATTTTCGCCCTACGTCGTGGAGCTCCTCCGCTACATCTTTAAGGAAACTTCTCCTTGGAGAACGGTTTCGTTTCGACATCATGAAATTTATATGTCGCAGATCATCGAGCCTTCATCAGACTCACCGACCGAGATTGCACAGTAGTGAGTGCGACCAAGTTTTTTATTTCGAAACTGCCACACCCTCAAATGGTCATCACTCACAATTACAGTTTGACTTCTGTGGCATGCATGCAGGCATATAGCGATCACCCTCGCCTGCGCGGACCATGCGCAGCGAGAGGTTTTGCTGTCGGTACGTGTGTGTGTGTGTGTGTGTGGTGTGTGCGTCTGTCCGTGCGTCTGTCCACCGTTTTTCGTCGGTAACGCGCAACATCTGAGGTTGAAACGTTGGACCTCTTATCAGTAGAGGTATGCAATGGTAAAATACTATTCTGGCTCGGAGAAGGCCGGGTAAGCTGTGAAACGACGGCTGTCGAGGTGAGTGTGCGCACTTAGAGATCGCGCGAATGTCTTTGCGGCGTATTGATGTACAGTGTGAGTAGGAGCGAGATTGCTGGTGAGTGGACAGCAGCACACGCCCAGGAATCGCGTTCAGTGACGGTACACTCGTATGTAGTGTCGCTAGTAGCTGAATACGTGGTGAGGGTTATGTACGGAGCTTTTCACTTTGCTGTAGTATAGTACTAGTATTGAACACGCATGTGCAAAGACTGAGGTAGTGTAGCTAGTAGCCATTGGCTGCTGAAATAAGGATAAAGTAGCGAGGGTTATGCACTTCAAGTGCTTTTCAGATGCTGTTATGGGAGCTCTCTCTGCGTGCATGTTATAAAAACAGAATCTCACTTTTAAAATATTTACAGAGATCTAAAACATGAACGTAGAGTTCATGCCACAAATTCATAAGGAATGGCTCCACCAGCTCCGGCTCTTGCCTCCCCTCCTCACAAAGTGGTCAGCCGTGGCTCCTCTGGCAGTCGTTTACACACCACCTTCTCCCCCTCTCCTTCGCCTGCTTCCTCTTCAGTTCATTGGCCTTGACTCTCTTGAGGAAATCCTCCCGACATCGAGGATGCTTCACATGCTCTATCCTCACATTGATCTTTCTGAATGGTCCGTTTCTGTAATTTTAGGAGAGGGAAAAAAGCGAGGAAAACGCACATGAGCTCAGGCTAGTAGTTTTTCCCCACAGATGTTTCCTAGGTAAAAATATATGGGCGGGGTGAGTTGATTGTTTTACAATGAGGGGATAAGGATACAGTGAAACCCCTCATGTAAGTACATAGATATGAAGGTGAGGGGAACATTTCAAGGGGGTGAGCCGCTTCTTTAAAGACTGCTGCTTTACCTGACTACAATAACGCCCACAGCTCTCTTGGTAACGTTGAAGACTCGCCCGGTCTTTCCGTGGTAGAACTTGTGGGGCATGCCCTTGTGGAAGGCGCCATGCCCCCTCTCTGCGACCGGGACCACTGCCTGATGAGGTCGTGGCACAGGGATGTCCCGACTGGGCGATACGTGATAGTCGGTGAGCCACCCGCAGGCGGAGCTTCAGGCGGGGATTCGGGCGGTCCACCTGGCGTCTCATTTCCTCCTCCAGCCTTGTCCTCATGGTACCACCATCACCGCCATTTCCAGAGAGGACTGGAGGTGAGTGCCACCCTTCAGCAAATTTATCATGATTGTGACAAAGGTTTTAAGGCTACAAAGAGTTGTCTTTCGCATTGAGGAACATACAAGGTCACTCTCCCTGCAAAATCTATTGAATAAACCCTGCTGCACATTAGCACACTTTTGTAATCCTTATACGCTTTGTTTTAGAGTTTTTCTCTCCCTCACTCCACAGAGGCCACAGTAGTGAGTACTACAACAGAAGTCTCGGTACGTCCGTACCTGGTCTCATCCACTCTGAGCATGCTCAGAAACTCCTTCAGAGAACTTGACTTCCTGGAGACTCCAGTCTAGCCCCGCCCACTTACCACACCCACCACTCAATAATTCATTACACCATCATCATCCATCATCATCAGTTCAGAATTATTCACACACTAACATGAATAATAAACTACAAAAATGAATAACTAAACTGCATTTTTTGCAAACTTGTCGGATTTTTCAGGCGTGTCTCTGTAGTCATCGTTTTGCTTTTGCATCTGCTTAAGCTTGGCATACATTGTTTTGCTCGTTGATTTTGCTTCATTTTTCTCCTTTTCTGTTTCTTCTTGCTGTTCAATAGCCGCTTTAAGCTTTTTGTCAAGAAAGTTAATTCTGTCGTTCCAGTCTTTCTTCTCTTTTTGATGCATGTCATTGGCACATTTCAACTCTCTTTTCAGTGCATCATTTTCCTCACTTATTTCTTGGACACGTTCAAACAGCAGGCCTAGACCATGAGCCACATCATTGCAGATGTCGAGCTGCAAATGAAGTCGGACAACTTTCATTTCATCAAGAAACCTCTTTAGACTTTGGTCCATTAGTTCCATAAACAAAATTGGTTGCTTCAGCTTAGGATCGCTGTAGGTACCTGAACTTAAAAAAGAGACAATATTGGGATGTAGCCAGTCCTTTATGATCTTGCACCCCTTCTTGAAATGTTCCACTTGCCACAATGAGCTCTCAACTACCTTAGGGTGGATGTATTTAGCAGCACAGGGAAGAGTAAGAAACTGGGCCTTGCAGACAACGGCACTATCGCCATTCATGAGGACCTTATCGTGGTGCACTTGCATGCTACTGGGATCAATAGGTGGGAAGGATTCATCCATTTCACTTGGTCTGGATGATGTGGAGGAGACACTTACACTGCTACTAACACTCCTGTAAAGGGATATAGGTAGACAGTGTTTCGGTATTCATTAAAATCTGTTGGTCATGAATAGTACCTCAAGATAGGGTGGTCAGACGGTTGCACCTGTTGTTTGTGGGATGCACTGCTGACTCTGCACGTGGGATGTGGCGTACTTCGTCTCTGTGGGAACATTGTAATTAGTTGTTTTTCCCAAGCATGTGACTATGTTTACTGTTCAAATCTACATGACAGACATTAATGAATGTATGTTGCTAATCTTACCTCCATAGAAGGAAAAATATCATCTTCTTGGTCAACATTGACGTCTTGTGGGTCTTGGGGGTTATCCATTTCACTCGGTTTGTTGGTAGATAAATTCAATAGCTTTCGAACACATTGCTCAGAAAGTTTGATGACAGTACAACTTTCAATTTCATCTGATTCAACAGCACCAATGCTTGTTTCTGTCATAAATGTAGGTGGACAAAATAGCCGTGGCATGATAAAATAAATGCTAAAGGGAGAATTCTTCCCAATGTGGTGTACAGGAGGAGAGAAGCCATTCGTTTTCTTTACTCCATTTTTTAATTTTCTTACAATTTCCATTGTTGGGTTTTCTACCTCCTCCGGAATAGACGCTTTCATAAGACGCGAATTAGGACCATGAGGTGTGAATATGACATCTCTGACATCATTTAGCCCTGTTGCTTTTTCAAACAATTCTATTCCATTTTTATAACTTTCAAAGTCTTCCTTTATTGGAGGATCAGCATATTCTTCAATAATCTCCTCCAGCAAATCATAATGCTGCCAATTCATATACTGCTTCTGACTAATAATGGTGTAAATTTCTGACGTTGACTTTGCCAGGAGTAGTTCTTTATAATTGTGATGTGCTGGTAAGTGTTGGGGATTGGAAACAACAACTCTAAAATCGTCTACTGTAATTTTTTGTGCTTTATGGAGCTTTTCAATATGACGAAATGTTTTGATTCGAAGTGTGTTGAAGAGTCTAGCTAGTCGGCGAATTTCTTCTTTTATAACTTCAGGAACATTGCAACCTGAAAATTACACATAGATATACATTAGTGACAACAAGGGGTAAAAACAACTTACTCCGAGCCATTTCTTGCCAGTTGGTTGAAAAGCATCTCCCTCCATAGTATCATCTGTTACCGATAAGTGGGGAAATGAGTATGTAAGGGTCACGTCTGATTTCAAGAAAGTTACATTGCACATACCTGGAGCCATTGAGTCTCTGCATTTTCTTCGCCTTAGGTTGTTAGCAAGTGTACGCTCACCTACACTCCTGGATTGCAGGGCATCTATAATATCAGACCACGACGGATCTCCATCGACTACTATTTGGTTTAACCACTCGTTGATCGTTTCCATTAGGGCCAGCTCTAATTCATCCTTATGCTTCTGGTCAATTTCTTTTAACGTAGACTGAGGAACCTTAAGCTGCGTTCCTATTCGCCTCCATTTTCGCCCTACGTCGTGGAGCTCCTCCGCTACATCTTTAAGGAACTTCTCCTTGGAGAACGGTTTCGACATCATGAAATATTATATGCGCAGTCGCTCAGCCTCACCGACCGAGATTGCACAGTAGTGAGTGCGACCAAGTTTTTATTTCGAAAACATGCCACACCCTCAAATTGTCATCACTTCACAATTACAGTTTGACTTCCTGTGTGCATGCAGCATATGCAGATCAACCCTCGCCTGCGCGCATGCGCAGCGAGGGTTTTGCTGTCTGTGTACGTGTGTGTGTGTGTGTGTGTGTGTGCGTCTGTCCGTCCGTCTGTCCACCGTTTTTCTTCGGTAACCGCTGCAACTCTGAGGGTGAAACGTGGACATCTTATCAAGTAGGAGGTATGCATGGTAAAATAATATTCTGGATCGGAGAAGGCCGGGTAAGCTGGTGAAACGGACGGCTGTCGAGGTGAGTGTGCGTCAATTAGAGATCGCGCGAATGGCTTTGCGCGTATTGATGGTACAGTTGAGTAGGAGCGAGATTGCTGGTGAAGTGACAGCAGCACACGCCCAGTGAATCCGTTCAGTGAAGGAGTCACTTATGTAGTGTAGCTAGTAGCTGAATAAAGTGGTGAGGGTTATGTACTGAGCTTTTCACTTTGCTGTAGTAGTAGTAACTAGTATTGAACACGCATGTGCAAAAGACTGAGGTAGTGTAGCTAGTAGCCATTGGCTGCTGAAATAAAGGATAAAGTAGCGAGGGTTATGCACTTTCAAGTGCTTTTCAGATGCATGTTATGGGAGCTCTCTCTGCTTGCATGTTATAAACCAGAATCCTCAACTTTTAAAAATATTTACAGAGATCTAAAACATGAAACGTAGAGTTCATGCCACAAATTCATAAGGAATGGGCTCCACCAGCTCCGGCTCCTTGCCTCCCGTCCTCACAAAGTGTCCCAGCCGTGGCTCCTCTGGCAGTCGTTTACACACCACCTTCTCTCCCCTCTCCTTCGCCTGCTTCCTCTTCAGTTCATTGGCCTTGACTCTCTTCAGGAAATCCTCCCGACATCGAGAATGCTTCACATGCTCTATCCTCACATTGATCCGTTTCTGAATGGTCCTGTTTCTGTAATTTTAGGAGAGGGCAAAAAAGCGAGGAAAACACATATGAGCTCAGGTTAGTACTTTTCCCATAGAATGTGATCTGCTCCGTTGAAGGCTGCTGCTTACCGTTGACAAAACGCCCACAGATCTCTTAGTAACGTTAAAGACTCGACCAGTCTTTCCGTGGTAGAGCATACCCTTGTGGAAGGTGCCACGCCCCTCTCTGCGACCGGGACCACTACCTAATGAGGTCGTGGCACAGGGATGTCCCCACTGGGCGATACGTGATAGTCGTGAGCCACCCCGCAGGCGGAGCTTCGGGCGGGATTCTGGCTGGCCACCTGGCGTCGTCTTTCCTCCTCCAGCTTTGTCCTCATGGTACCACCGTCACCACCATCTCCAGAGAGGACTGGAGGTGAGTGCCACCCTTCAGCATAATTTATCATGATTGTGACAAAGGTTTTAAGGCTACAAAGAGTTGTCTTTCGCATTGAGGAACATACAAGGTCACTCTCCCTGCAAAATCTATTGAATAAACCCTGCTGCACATTAGCACACTTTTGTAATCCTTATACGCTTTGTTTTAGAGTTTTTCTCTCCCTCACTTCACAGAGGCCACAGTAGTGAGTACTACAACAGAAGTCTGGGTACCTGGTCTCTCTCGTCCACTCTGAGCATGCTCAGAAACTCCTTCAGAGAACTTGACTTTCTGAAGACTCCAGTCTAGCCCCGCCCACGTACCACACCCACCACTCAATAATTCATTACACCATCATCATCATCATCATCAGTTCAGATTATATTCACACACTAAACATGAATCACAACAAACTACAAAAGCGGTACTAAATCTTGTTTATTGCGTTTCAGACAGCATTCTTGCGAAGCCCTTGTCAGATTCTTCAAGCTTGTCTTTGTAGTCGTCTCTTTGTTTCTTGAATTCCTCTATCTTGTCGCGCATTGTTTGGCCCCTAGATCTTTCATTCCATAGATCTTTGCACATTCGGTCCTTCTCATGCGCTGCTTCACTCCTCTGCTTCTTTGATTCTTCCAGTTCGTTGGTGGCTGCTTCAGCTTTTTCTGCGAGATCTTTATTTGTCAGAGTCATCATTGAGACACTATTTCTCATAGATTCCATTGATGCTTCCATATCAGTCTGCTTTTTTCGAAGTGCTTGAATAGTTGATACATACTCGGTCTGGTTGCATTTCAGGACCTTATTTTCTTCAGTTTTTTCACTGAGTCTGTCTTGAAAGTATTCGATTTGAAGGCCGACCAGTTCAGTAGAAATGTGCTCTGCTGATTGGCTGTTGCGATAGGCTGAGGACTTGATCATGTTGTCCAGATCCTGACAGAGCTTTGTGGCTGATGGTCGCAAGCTGTCCTTGTCATTCAAGCACTTGATAATAAGCGGGTAAAGAGGATGGTTTCTATCTTCTACACTCTGCAGATCTTTTGCGTATCTCTCCACTTCACTGGACTCGTGAGCCTGTGTGTTTGGTTGGGGGAGCTCTCGAGTGGCAATATGAATGCCCAAGACTCCAAAAGAAAAGCAGTCGATGGCTCCATCGTAGTCGGCGCAGCTGAAAGAGTCTCGTGGCATGCTTTCTGGTGCCCCTGGGCACAATGAGAGCTCTCCATCTGGGGTGTTGATCTGAAGGGTCATTAACCCACAGATTTTTGCCCTCCCCCTCTTGACCAGAACGTTGGTGGCAGTCAGGTTTCCATGGATGATGTCCTGTGCATGCAGGTATTCCAGACCCTGAGCCACGTCACTGCAGATGTCAAGCTGCAGGTAAAGCGGGAGATCTAATTTACGGTGATCCAAGAATTCCTTTAGACTTTGATCCATCAGCTCCATGAGCAGGATTGGTTGCCTTAGGCGATTATCGCGGTGGATATGGAGGAAAGCAACGATATTAGGATGTCGACAGTCATGCAGGATCTTGCAGCCCTTCTTGAAATTCTCCAGTTGCCAGGACGAGGTCTCGACCAGCTTGGGGTGGAGATACTTAGCAGCACAGGGAAGATTGAGGAACTGGGCCTTGCAGACAACGGCACTGTCGCCATTCATGAGGACCTTGTCGTGGAATACATGTATGCGACTGGGATCAATGGATTCATCCATTTCACTTGGGTCAGAGGAGAGAAGGCTCACACTGCTGCTTATGCTCCTACTGGAGAAAGGATCTATATAATATTCATGATCAAGTCAACTGGCCATGAATAGTACCTGAAGACAGGAGGGCCAGATGTTTGCACTTGTTGGGTGGACGATGCACTGCTGACTCTGCGTGGAGCTGGTGGCGTCACTGTTCTCTGCAGGGAAATACCACTAGGGCTATAACCAAGCATGTGACTATGTTTTTCTGCTAACAGACAATGATGAATATCATTACTTACCCCCATCAAACAGAAAACCTCCTCCGCATGCATGTAGTACACACATCTCTCATGAATATCTTCTGGCAATTGATTTTGGGAAGTGAGGAGAGGGGAGACAGTGAGTGAGCTGACCATCAGGTGGGGTGCAAGCGAAATAGGTACTAAAAATATTATTTCTACGGAGCTTTTCTTGATCATATACAAACGAGCAGCTGCTGGATCAACTCCAGCTTGATCAGTGTATTGATGCTTGAGCCTTCGAATATCCCTTCCTGTGAATTGGTTACATTGGTTGTCTTCCAATTTTGCAATGACTGAAGCAGAATCTGCGAGTGGCCGGGCAAGCTCAATGTTCTTTAGCTTTTCTGCACTTGTGCGACCCTCAAAATCTGTTAGCTTTGTACGATACGCTGCCATTTTCCCCTTGAGCTCAGGACTCCCATATCTTTGAGCAATATTATCCAACAGCTCATAATTATACCAGTTTGTGTACTGGCTGATAACAATAAACATCTGGTAGAACTCTGTACCAGGTTGCATTATTTGTTTAAGATCAAGACCTTCAATATTCCTTGGAAGTTTTTTCTTCCAGGAAGGCATAGGACATGACACAAAAACAGCGAATTCTTTAATGTCCGGTGGGGACTCCTCGAGATATTTATAGATCTCCATACGAAGCTCTTCGAAAACTCTGTGCAAAAGCATAATTTCTTCCTGCACTGCATCAGGGACATCACACTCTGCATGCAGCACTACTGCTCCATTCACTATTATACCAAAAGATTATGCATCAGCTTTAGCTACGAGGAAATAAAACGAACTTACGTGCTCCATCTGTTGAAGGGACGAGCTGGTCATCATAATAAGCCTGTCGGCTCTGTGGAGCTGGGACTAGGCACCGATTTGACTCAACTGTGCTTGTGGGGTATCTTCCTTTCAGATTTTTAGCCAAAGTGTATTCGCCTACAGATTGAGATTGCAATACTTTCACCACTGCGGCCCAGCTCGTTTCTTCTTGTTTTCGCCACTCCTGCAACATTCGACGAAGAGCGACAGTGTGGTTGTCTTTGCATTCGGCGTCAATGCTGTCAAGCGTCCCGTCCGAAATGTTCAGCTGGAGACCAATAGAATACCATTTTTTCTTTACACCAAAGAGTTCCTCCACTAGATCTTTGAATTTAGGCGGTTTGGTGTCCCGTGCAACGGTGACGACCGCCGACATGGCCTTTCGCCGGCACGATCTTCACGGAGGTTTCCGTGCATGCGTATTAAATAGCAAAACGAGACCTTTCAAAACGATATTTACAGACATCTAAAACATGACGTAGAGTTCATGCCACAAATTCATAGGGAATGGGCTCCACCAGTTCCGGCTCCTTGCCTCCCGTCCTCACAATGAAAGTGTCCCAGCCGTGGCTCCTCATTCGCTGCAAAAATATTCTTTTCAACAACAATCACTTTGCAATAGAGACTGACTTACGTGCTGCACCAGGTAAAGATCTGAATGGGACGACAGACTGTCGCAGGAGCGGTGCAACTGCAGGAGTACGCTCTTCGCGGCTTGCAATAGTGCCGACGTATATACCTGTCGTGCAAATTTTTGCCCAGATAATACTGGGCCACGGAACGGCATCGCAGCGCTTTCACTACAGCAGCCCATGAACACGATTTCTCTCTGTTGCACCACTCCTTTAGCATGCGACATAGTCCAGCGCCACAATCATCTCTGACTGCTTTCTCGATGTTATCCAGCACCTCATAGGGGATGTCAAGCTCGAGGCCGATGGAATACCACATGTGGCTCACGCCGAAAAGCTCCTCGACGTGGGAACTAGACAGTTAGTTTTTCAACGTTGTACTTTTGTATGTCTCATACGCCGGGACTGTAGAAGCAGCTAGCAAGGTTAGGTCTCAAACGGAACCATCGCGTTTGGAAATAGGTCCAATCATCATACCAAAGAGAGAGGACTTACCTTGATTTTCAAACCTATTTCCAAACGCGATGGCTCCGTTTGAGACCTAAGCTGCTTCTACAGTCCCGGTGTATGAGGCATACAAAAAGTACAACGTTGAAAAACTAACTGTCTAGTTCCCTGGATGGAACGACTACATGACCCATAGTGGAACTCCACCCACTGAAAATTGAGTCCCTAGCGGCGCTAGCCTAGCGGCGCTAGCAGTACGGACCGCTCTGTCGCTAGCAATGCGGACCGACGTCCTATGGGGTGGTATTCGTGTCAGTATTCAAACGTCGATTTTGCCGAGGCATTTCCGTTTTGCCGCGGCAAAATTAAACTGCCGCGGCAATTGCCCCGGCAAAACCTGGGCCGAAAAATCCGGGACATTTGCCGCGGCAAGAATAACTAGCTGGGCCATGTTCAATCGTGTCAGTATTCTTGTCGTTGCCGGGCCTTTTGCCGCGGCAAAAGTGCTCTTGCCTGGGCAATTGCCGCGGCAAATGGAAATTTGCCGAGGCAAGAGCACTTTTGCCGCGGCAAAAGGCCCGGCAACGACAAGAGCACTTTTGCCGCGGCAAAAGTGCTCTTGCCTCGGCAAATTTCCATTTGCCGCGGCAATTGCCCAGGCAAGAGCACTTTTGCCGCGGCAAAAGGCCCGGCAACGACAAGAATACTGACACGATTGAACATGGCCCAGCTAGTTATTCTTGCCGCGGCAAATGTCCCGGATTTTTCGGCCCAGGTTTTGCCGGGGCAATTGCCGCGGCAGTTTAATTTTGCCGCGGCAAAACGGGAATGCCTCGGCAAAATCGACGTTTGAATACTGACACGAATACCACCCCATAACTGTCGCTGCTATATAGTGCGGGCCGACGTCGCTATTAGGGCGGGCCGGCGTCGGCCCAGCAGTGTGGGAATTCCCCTCTCGGCCATAGAATACTGCATCGGCGATCGGTGGTGCGCAGCTTTTCCTGCATGACACCCGACTCTACGCATGCGCCTAGCTTGCCGCGCGACTCAAGACGTAAGTGTCACAATAATATTTACAGAGATCTAAAAGATGACGTAAGTTCATGCCACAAATTCATAAGGAATGGGCTCCACCAGCTCCGGCTCCTTGCCTCCCGTCCTCACAAAGTGTCCCAGCCGTGGCTCCTCGGGCAGTCGTTTACACACCACCTTCTCTCCCCTCTCCTTCGCCTGCTTCCTCTTCAGTTCATTGGCCTTGACTCTCTTGAGGAAATCCTCCCGACATCGAGAATGCTTCACATGCTCTATCCTCACATTGATCCGTTTCTGAATGGTCCTGTTTCTGTAATTTTAGGAGAGGGCAAAAAAGCGAGGAAAACACACGTGAGCTCAGGCTAGTAGTTTTCCCATGGAATGTGATCTGCTCCGTTGAAGGCTGCTGCTTACCTAACTTGCTTGTTGACAATAACGCCCACAGCTCTCTTAGTAACGTTGAAGACTCGCCCGGTCTTTCCGTGGTAGAACTTGTGGGGCATGCCCTTGTGGAAGGCGCCATGACCCTTTCACGTCCAACGATGTCTCCCACTTTGTACACTGTCATGTACGTGGACAAGTGCTCCGTCCCTGCGCGGCGAAAGCGAGACGAGTTTAGTGGGCACTAATTGGAATCATGAATCCTAACCATGTTTCTTGAAGGGACGGGAGAAGAGGTAGCGAGTCCCACGACGATAACCATTCGTGTTGACCATCTTCTGTCCCTGTAGAACACCACACTGAGGTAGGCCAGCGGAAGAAAGCAGAAAAACAACGCGCGCTCACCTAGATTTTTACACGTGGAATCGGCAGTCTTCGCGGACTACGCATGCGCAAGACTATGCACGTGACCCTCAATCGGATCATGTGACTGCTGTTCTTTCATTCTTCGTCTCTGCGAACCAGTGTGAGTGCGCTAGAAGTCTCCAGCCATGGAAGAAGTGGACACAATCATTATCGCTACACTGAGAGACGTCGGCTGGTGAGTTGGAGCCCCAAACCGCGCGGAGGGAAGGACAAACCTCACCTGCCACTCCCACTTTTCCCTCTTGCAGCGGATTTGACGAGAGCGTGGTGAGTCTGATCAACTTCTCAGCGGCCATGGTGGTGGAGGCGTGTGTGAGATGCCTGAGAGTCATTCTACCAGACTTTAACTGCCCCGCCTCCATGCCAGAGGTCATGTCTGCCCGATACCGCATGTGCTCCACCCTCGCCAATGCCTGTCAGGTGGGAATCACGTGACAGATCACGTGAACGAAGTTACAGCTACTGTACTACTGCTATATAATGTGTGTCCTTTCAGGAGCTGGGTTACCAGGGGGAGATAGGCTATCAGACCTTCCTCTACTCCAGTGTGAAGGAATGGAGAAAATTGCTCATGTTTCTGTTGGAAAAACTGCCCAGAGAGGCCGTCCAAGCTGCCGATGAACCCACAGGTACTCAACCAGGCTTGCAAAGTCAGTGTTGAACATTCATTCATTCTTATTCTAGGTACAGGTATATACATGTTGGTAAATAGAGTGTATTTTGCTGTTTCACCATTAGATCTGTGTGTGTCTCTTTCCCTCCCCCTCTGTAGGTGCTAGAATGGTGTTGAATAGGAGGATATCGGCAGAGCTCTCGGCAGCCATCACCTCTTCCTGGACTCCGCCTTTCTGCAAGAGACACGGACTGGTCTTGAGGAAGGGACACTGGCAGAGGGAGGTGAGCCCCCGTATCTTATTCCTGTCTTTCAGTTGTCGACACACACTCCTGAATAGCAGTACAAGATGTCAGTGTGTGTGTGATGTGTGTACCTTGACCTCGTGTTTAGGGTGGAGCTGGTTGTCATGGCTACCACTCTAGTGATGTAAGAGCTCCAGAAGGGACGGGAGACATTTCAGCCAGGATCCCAAAAGGTCTGTTACTTTTTCTCCTACCATCCACATTGTCTCTTTACACCTTTTTTCTTTCTTTTTCTAGTTACTCTTTATTCTTTGAGGAATTCTGTAATGGATTCCTTTCTCTCTCTGCCTCAGATGTACTCCGGTACTACAGCAGTCACATGAGGTTTGTGCCTGCCCAGCCTCGCGTCAGACGAGACGTCCTGGCCTCGCTGCTGGAGAGGAACGCCAGTGAGGTGGCAGCTCAGCAGGAGTGGGAGGCAGAGTGGAACACCCAGGGCCTCACCTCCAGACTCTCTGAGGAGGTGAGGGAAAAGAAAGAGAGAAAGAGAAAGTATATACTTTGAAAAGTTTCGATGGAGGAAACTTGCCAATGCAAATTTTCCCCACAAAAGTAGTCTGATTGGGTCGTAGTGTATGACTGCTGGTGTGTTTATGGTGTTTACAGGAGTACAGGGCCAGGAAGAGACAGAGACTGAAGAAGAAGTTGACGGAGCAGCTGACGTCCAGTCTGAGACAGGGTTCAGCCTCAGCCTCTGCTGCTCTGGGGGCCGCCTCTGACCTCCAGACAATTCTCAACTCATTCACTGGTGAGAGAGAGAGAGAGAGTCAAACGAGGGTTACGTCACAGTGTGCTTGTTTCTCCACCACCAGATAAGCTGTCGGCGGGTGTCCAGGGCACTGGGAGTAGGTTCCAGCATGCGGAGAAACTACAATTTGCCAAGGTTTGTGCGTTCACACCACCACGACATACATCCTTAGTTAGCCTGGCATCTTATCAGCTTGGACATTGGTGGAGATCCTCATATTATATAGAAGACAGCTTATCAGCTTATACACACTAGTCATTTAGCTTAGTGTGCATTAACTAAGCCAACCTCACTTCTTTGCATATTGTTTTTTACCATTCTTCCTGCAGGAGGAAGAAGTTCCCATGCAGGTTGAGGAGGCCACTGAAGAGGTTTGCACTGAGTAAACCTCAACACAGACAAACTCTCTCCCTCCCTCCCCCCCTCTTGCTGTGCAGGAGTTGCAGCAACAGAGGGAACAGGAGGTGGCCTCACTTCAAGAGCAGCTCTCGGTTCTCACGGCTCAGCTGGAGGCTCTGGAGCTGGGTCGCAAGAAATTCTCAGCCAGTGAGATAATTTTATACCTAGTAACATTGAGGCACCTTATACACATATATCATAGTGTTGACAGGTCTATGTTACCACAGTAAGTCTCAATCTGCAATAGGAAGTAACGCAAACATTGATATTTTGTTTTTGCAAACCTGTAATTTTGCACCTTATAAATTGAACCGTGCATCAGTTATACCGCCATCCAATTTCCTCATCTCTCCCAAATAAGGTATGCAGCAGATGATGGAGAGAGAGTTGGAGCAGGGCGGTCAGAACAAGGATGAGGAAGAGGCCTACAAGGTCAAGAAAAAGACCCACGATCTCCTGCCCAACGCAGACGAAAACATGAGGAAACTCAAGGTCAGGGAAAAGAGGGAAACAGAGAGAGAAGATGAGGAGAGAGAGGGAAGGCAGAGAGGAGAGAGAGTGAAGACAGAGAGGAGAGAGAGAGGGAAACAGAGAGGGAAGACAGAGAGGAGAGAGAGAGGAAAACAGAGAGGGAAGACAGAGAGGAGAGAGAGGGAAATCCGTATATATTGCACCACAGGGTTCGAGGAAAAATGTTTTCAAAGTGTCGGTCTCTATTAAATGAAAAAGTATGGTCTCTATAATATGGTATATTGTTCAATATATTCAGGAGTTGGTCCAGGGGAGTGCAGACAGACTGACAAAGTTGTCGGCCAAGTGGGAGGAGGTGAGGGGACCGCTGGTGGAGAGATACCGGGTCCTCCGCAGGGAGAGCGAGGGGAGGGAGAGCGAGGAGACGAGGCTGCTCGGGGAGGTGGGGCGACTGCGGTCCAGGATGAAGGAGGTGGCTGACGAGACCAGACAGAAGGAGAGTCTCTACAAGCAGCTGGTGAGTGTACAGAGAAGGGGGAGGGAGACGGCATGTCATTGACAAATGCTAGAGTGTGCACTGTAATACCATCTAATATGCAATTGTGCAATAATGGCCAAGATTGTGAAAATAGGGAGGTTTTTATCAGGCAAGTATAGAGGGCAGGCCAACAAACCCATTCACAAATCAGTTGGAGTGTGCAGTGCTAATAACTGAGTTCCTCTGCCGTTTTGTCCAGCTATCAGCATGTTAACATACTCCTTGTGCACAGGTCACGGAGTACGAGCAGCTGAGCAAGGGGCAGAGCAGGGTGTCCTACACCAGAAGGATTCTAGAGATTGTGGCCAACATTCAGAAACAGAAGGAAGACATTGGTCGATCCTTGCCGACACTCGCAAGGTACTCACATAGTATGCTCCACTATCACTTCATTACTCACGTCTCTCTAGCTTTGGAAATTTCATAGGCCCTGAGTAGGCTGGTTACACAATAGACAGTTTCGTTTTGGAATCTCAAAGGTGAAAGTTTTTGAGGGGGAAACATGACATTTAGCAACACTTTAGAGAAGTTTTAGTGATATCTCTACGACTTACTAGAAGCAAAACTATATACTTCAAATTGCGTGGGCTATTGTTTGCCTAATAAGTCTCTCTCTGTTTACTTGCCACGCTTGTTGCATAATGTTACGAATTACGAAGGCTGTAGAATCAGTATGTGGGAATGCTGCTTTAATGAGCCGACCCTGTTGTAGCTGGGTTTAATGTGACGAGAGTTGAGGTCACAGTAGTGCTGAAACACTGCCCGAAGTGTCGGTTTTGCTTGCCTGCCACATCGCGACAGTAACTACTCAGCTGTCCGAGGAGTTGTGTGCTAACTGCCCAGTGGTCGTGTCTGTCACTGCATGTGTGTTACTGCCTCAGCGTGATACTTGGTCCTCTGAGAGCTGCTGACAGCACAGCCTCAACAGGCTGGCAAAACAACAACTAAAACTTCAGAATTCCAAGGTTACTGTTAAATTCAGGCATTACTGAAGTAAGCGTCCTGCATTCTGAGAGCTACTGTTGAACTTTGGACCCTATCGAAGATTTAAGGTGCACATTATTATTTTTTTGCAAGCCAACAACTCAAATTTAAAAGTATGTGTCTTTGGCTGCAGGTACAGAAGGAGATAAACCAGCTGGCGGGTAAACTGGATCGAGTATTCACCATGACAGATGAACTGGTGTATAAAGACGCCAGGAAAGACGAGGCACGCAGACAGGCCTACAAGATGCTGGCCAGTCTTAGAGATGTGAGTGCAGCTGACACCTCCTTGATCAAGAGTTCAGTGGAACCTCAAAACACTATATCGAAACCAGTGTCCTTTATAGAGCATTTCTTTATTCAGACAGTCCAATGTACTATATATGAGGTTCTGTTCTCCACCTTAGAACTGTGGGAAGGTAGTGGAGGCAATAAAGGAGACTGGGCAGACAAAGAGAGATCAGAGAGACCTCGAAGACCAGGTACACATATAGAGTAACATTTTCACCCCTCAAGAACATTGCTAATCTATTGCTGTATTTCAGATTGACAGTGAGTCGGGGAAGAAGGTGGCAGCCAATCTGAAGGAGATCGAGGCAGATCTGGCACAGATGAAGTCTGAGAACAGTCAACTGCTGGCCCAGCTCAAGGCATAGGACAACTGCCTCGTGTGTCTAGTTTGATCACTTTGTAATAATAGGAGTGTTTGGATTATTTTTGTGAAAAATAGAGATCTGATTGAGTTTAAGTTATGATTTGTGATTGTCAGTCTGTTTCTCTGCTCTAGCAATGAGTCGTTTAACCCCCATCATCCACATATTAACCTGTGTGGGAGGAGTTAATGTACAAATGAGGTACATATATACCTTAACACTACTCCCTCACCTCAGAAGTATGGTCCACCATCAGAGCCACCTGAATTCTTCGTGCCTCTTCAACTCTACCCGCTTCAAGAGCTAGAGTTGAGAAAAGGAGGAGAGGAGGGTAGAAATACAGTGCTAGTGCTAACACCACAGAAAGTTTCCTCCGAAAGTGTGCTGCTGTGTATATACCTGTAAGTAGAGCTGTCGTGTGTGTCATGACATGAGGTGAGAGAGCTCCACTGTTCCACTGCGTCCTCATTGCACCCAATCTCTTCATCACCTCCTCCACCTCCTTCTCCTGTACCCGGAACATCTTTCAATCTCTCTCTCTCCCTCTCTCTCACTGTCATGGAAGTCTTGTGTCGCTCCAGCTGCATCTGAAACCCATCGACAACTCTGGAGTAATCATCCTCCACTCCACCACCTCCGGAGTCGGTTACTCCGACTACCCCAGATGATACCTCACCACTCTGTGATCTGGACAGAGATGTCTGCTAATGAGTGTGAGTTTATAGATCTGCTAACGTTTGTGTAGGTGGCGCAGAAGAGGGAGGGGGGCAAAGGGGAGAGAGGGAAGAGGGAGGGAGAGGAGAGGGGTGGGAGTGGGGCGAAGGCCTCTTGTTCAGCCTGCTCCTCCTGATACCATGAGAGTCCAAAGAGGCATGGGAGAACTGGGGAGGGTCGTTCCAGCCTGGAACTGGGACAGATGGCACGGAATGAGGACCTGAGTCACGTACACGACTATTCTGACAGTCTTCTAGGCTATTAGGTCTAATTATACGCACACACAAAGGAGAGCCAAAAACTACATTACCTGACATTTTTCACAACCAGTGACAGTCGTCGAAATGTAGTCAACAAAGGGTTAACTGCGAGCAGGCACGCCCCGCCCCCACACCACTTCGTCGCTAACAACAACACAAACATGCTGGCCGTTGCTCAGCCGACTAGCTATAAACAAGGGTGTCTGGAGACTAGCTATTTAGCGCAGTTGCGGCAGATGTGAGCCAGCAGACGAAGGGCAGGCGGCACACACTGCACCAACGTGTGCGCTCTGGCCGCGAAATGGCACCTAAGGGGTTAATTTTCGCACTGCTCGCCGCCGCGACCTCCGATTTCGAAAGGTCGTCGCTGTCGTCGTCAGCAAGTAGTGACAAGCAGAAGGCAGTTTCGACGTTCTTAGCGGACGCCGCGTGGCGCAGGAGGATGGCCGGAGTGGCTGTGGGCGTCGCGGGGGCCCTATTGACCCTAGCAGTCGTGTTTCTGCTCGGTTTGTCTGGCTCCCGAGGAGGCAGCGAGACGAGAAACGAAGGTGTGAACCGAGTTTCTAGTCCTACCGGCCGCCACTGTTTGTAAACACCACGCAAACTGAAAGACACCAGTCGTTAGCCTATTCTATGTTTGTCTTAGACATCTGTTTTTTTAATGTTCCCCCCTCTCTGCTCCCCCCTCTCTCCTCCTGCCAGAAGCTCTGGCTCTGAACAAGGAGCTGGAGTTTGCAGCGATCCAGGCAGTCCTCCGTCACCTTGACGACAACCACGACGGCTCCGTCGACCTGCAAGAGTCTGAGGAGGTATGTTTTAGTTGCTTAGCAACCCGTCTCCGCCAGCGTCTGTTTTCGGGGGGAAAGGAGATGTTTCATTTTCCTTTCAAGTTTGTGTGCAAAGGATCCCAGTACCAACTGATGATAGTAGGTCATTCAGAAAATGGCCTGTTTATCCGCAACCGAACACATGTGGATTACTTTCATATCACTCAGATCATCACAGATTACTGACTTGTTTGTCTAGATTTTACTGACTCGGCTCTATAGATTACTGACTTGTTTGTATCTCAGCTATATAGATTACTGACTTCATCTTGTTAGCATACTGACTTCATCTTGTTAGCATGCTGCCTTAGTACAGCCTCATCTGAGAAGGAATGTATAGAAATTTAAGGAGGGGAACAACATGTGTGCGTTTCATGAGAAGTGTTTCAGTTATTGAGTCAAATATCTACTAATTTATCCTAATTGGTACGAAGCTACAGCTCAGCTCTCCTCCCTCCTCTCTCTCTCCCTCCTCTCCTCTCCTCCCTC